GTTTAAGACCAATTAACTGCCCAAAAACAATAATCTCTTTAAAAAACTGTGAGAATTATCAAAACTTCAAGAGAATAACCACAAAACAAGTCCTTTTTTTATATAAAAAATGGTTTTAACAATTTTTTTTCAGTATAAAACATTACAGATTCAGATGCCAATCAAACAAATTCACTGTCATTTCAAATAAAGAACTCCCCAGTCAGACGTTCTACAATAAAATACAAAGGGTTCTGTCGGTAAGGGACTTTCTGTACTTTTTTTTCTTCTAATTACGGGTAAAATATAACAACACAAAGCCTAACAATCACTCTTCGCTTGCTATAATATTAATAATAGAAAAGAACAAATGTGAACTCCTGGTCCAAACAAAGCCCAAGTCTCGAAATTTCTGGTCAACGTGGCGTCTATGCAGTCTTCTGCTGGCCCTTCTTCCCGATGAGGGATTTGTGGATGTGGGGAATGACACCTGGAAGACAGAAACAAAGGAAACGTTGAGGTTAAAACGCTTTTTCGGCCAACAGAGGACCATCAGATGTGGGAGAAATAACTTAGAAGACAGCTCACCTCCACCAGCAATTGTCGCCTTGATGAGAGAGTCCAACTCTTCGTCCCCACGAATGGCGAGCTGCAAATGACGGGGAGTGATACGCTTCACCTTCAAGTCTTTGGAGGCATTTCCCGCCAACTCTAGAACCTGTTGAGAGTCAGAAAAACAAACAAACAAACAAACAATCAGACGGACTTTCTCGTTGGCTAACGAGGTCCCGGGCAGCTCAGAGTGGGCTTACTTCAGCGGTGAGGTACTCGAGGATGGCGGCGCTGTAGACGGCCGCCGTGGCTCCAACGCGACCGTGGCTGGTGGTGCGGGTCTTCAAGTGTCTGTGGATACGACCCACTGGGAACTGTCACAAACAAAAAAACGGCAGTGTGAGTAAAAACCAAACCAAACCAAACCGAGGGAGATTCGTACGCAAAACCTGCGTCGAACCAACGGACCGCCACGAAGATGGAGCCCCGTTTACCTGCAGCCCAGCCCTCTGGGAGCGCGACACCGCCTTCGCCTTGGCTTTGCCGCTGTCTTTTCCTGCTTTGCCACCAGCCTAGATGGAGAGATTTAAAGAATATTATCAAAAAAGGCGTTTAAAAAATCAAGTAAAAATAGTGGGAAATCAGTAGTAAAGAGAGGAGTCATATGATTCGAAGTATGCCCGAATTGATGAGAATAAAAGGGGAAATTTGGAGTATAAAATCAGTGATTGGGATCCCAATTGTAATCCAGATTTAGGAAATAAGATTCAAGGCAGCAGGAGTGGCGTCATAGCGTCAACAGCTGAACAGTTAAAGCTTTCCCGCCAATCTTAAACAAACCTATTTCAAGGCGGAATTCAAAACGGTAACCGGGATAGCATGTGTAAAAACAAATAATTAGCTAAAGGACTCGGAGAAATGAAGATAAAACCAAGCACACAACCGAAAAAAATAGGCTTAAGTTGTCACCGGCTGATGCCAAATACCCGCGTCAAACACAACAGACGCGCCGCTTTAAGAACCAAGTTTCCATTCACCGGTTTAAACAGAAAAATGTTTCCCTTCTCGGTCATTTCTTAGGTGCACGTAACACAACATATTGAGTCGACGTACTCTCGAGAAAAAAAACCGTTTAATAAGACTTTAACCGGCAACTGTTAACAGTCGACCAACCGTTGAGCCGGAGCATTAGCAACATTTAGCCTGCTAACGTCTTGCTAGCCGACCGTTCACACATCGAATCAAAATGCATTTTACATTAATCAAATCTCAATCTCCCAAAGATGGGTTTGGTCAATTCCAAAGAGGAGATATATGAAAAAAATCATTGTGGAAACTAAAAAACCATTCACAGGGGAGACCTGTAAAACTCGGGACTAACAACGGTAAGGCTGTTGGCTATGCTAACGAGTTAGCTGACAGTTAGCTTATTTAGCGGAGCTTTTTAACCACATCAATTCTGATCGAATTTTCGTAGTTCAAAATTTAAACAACACCCTTTACACACGCACAGCCATGCCAGCATACACACAGAAACGTTGCGAGCAATACATTTAGCGTTAACTCAAGCAAACGTACCATTTTCTTCGACTCGTTATTTGATTGTAGAAGTGAGTGGATAGCAAACAATTTCGGCTCCGAAAGCAAAGAAACAATAAACCCTTTCGAAAATCTTTCGCATGCGACCCCTCGTGGGAGCGTCAACGTCCAATCAGATGGGGCTTTGTTACTTCGAATCTCCAAGTTGACCAATCAACAAACAGCTTACAAAAAAATCACCCATCCCCCACCTTCAGATCATCTCCTCTTTGCGCACGAAACCAACGAGTAGGCGGGCTTCATTGAGTTGAGTGTCCTTCCAGGGACATCCATCCCTAAAACGTACAAAATACTTGGTTGTAGTTTATATTAAATATACGTAGCCGTGAGCGGAGTCTTGAGAAAGACGTGCTTTGTGTAGACTTTTGTTGTCTAAGCAGATTCACTAAAGGACAAACGGTCTAAGTTCAAGAGTAGAGGATCCAAATGATGCACCCTATGACAGTTTAAGCCCGGTCAGGTTGAGCTTTGATATATTTATATATATTTAAATTAAATACACGAAGCCGTGTGCGGATCATTGAGAAAGACGTGCTTTGTGAAGACTTTTGTTGTCTAATCAGATTCACTAAAGGACAAACTATCTTAAAAATATTTGTGTTCACGATGGATTTAACACCGTTAGGGGAAACGTTGATAACGGTTAGTAACGGCAATCCCAATCCGAATGTCATCTGAAAGGCGGTTGCGTTCGGATGATTAGCGTTTCCGAGGACGAATGGGAATCCGGGGTTTCCAACCGCCGTCGTGAGTGGCAGCCGCGGCGGCCAATGGGAATGCGGGGTTTCCAACTGCTGTTTTGAGTGGCAACCTCGGGGACCAATCAGAATCGAGCACCCATCGTCTCCGGTTTCCTCCTCCTGGAAACTAGGAGGGGAGAGACGGAGGAGGGAGGGAGGGGGGTTGGGGGTCAAAGCTACGCAGAGAAACGGGCTGCTGGTGGCGAAGATGGCGGATGGGGACAGTGGCAGTGAACGCGGAGGTAGCAGCAGCGGTGGCGGGGGAGGAGGAGGCGGAGGAGGAGGAGGAGGTGGAGGAGGAGGCGGCGG